CAATAATCCCTCTTCTGGGCATATACCCCAAGGACTTGAAATCACCACCTCAAAAAGATATCTGCCCTCCCATATTCATTGCATCATTATTCATGATAGCCAAGATATGGAAATAACCTAAGTGTTCATTGATGGATGAATGGATAAAGAAAATGTGAAATACACACACACACACACACACACACACACACGCATGCACACATACACACAGGGGGAATATTATTCAGCCTTAAAAAAGGAGAAGATCCTGCCATTTGCCATAACATTGACTAACCTGGAGGATATTATACTAAGTGAAATAATCCAGACACAGAAAGAAATACATTGTATGACCTTGCTTATATGTGGAATCTTCTAAAAAGTCAAATATACAGAGGTAGAGAAGAAAATAGTGGTTCCGAGGGGTGGTGGTTGGGGGGAGGAAATGGGGACATGTATGTAGGTCAGAGAACTCAAAAGTAGCAGATATGTAGGATGAACAAGTCTAAAGATCTAATATACAACATAAGGACTACAGGTCTTAGAATTGTACTGCATTTGGGATTTCTGTTAAAAGAGTAGATTTTTATCTCCTTTTGCCACAAAAACAAAAAACAACAGGTAACAATGTGAAATGATGGATATGTTAATTTGCTTCATTATAGTAACTATTTTACTATTTATATTAGGGTGTGAACTCACAGGGTGTGATGAGAAAGAATTCTTGACACAAAGATTAGGATAGGTTTTAAAGAAAAGGTTTATTTTACATTCCAAGAGAGGAAAGGGCAGTGCAGGACAGAAAGAGAGAAGAAGTGCTGTCCCCAAGGGTAAGGGGTTTGGGTTTTTATTGGGATAAAGGGGGGAAAAAGTTATTGCTGCAAGCTGGTAACAGGAGAGGGCTGTGAGAGTAGAGGGCCAGTTTGGTACTGCCTTCATGGAAGGAGGGTTAGTTTACAACTTCATCACTGGAATCACTCCTGGTAAGTTCAGGCCAAATTGGTCCTCTACTGTTAGAAAGAAGGGTTGATTTTCTTCCTACTTCATTCTAAAACCCTCATAAGTCCTCCATATCCTCTATTCTTTTTAGTTCAAAAATATGCCTTTTTCCTAAAGTAATTGTCAGTGGAATGTATATTATCTGCAGGGAAACTAATCCATAGGCATGTGGTCTGTTTCCATGGAAGCAACAAGACACAAGCACACAAATTGCTGCAAATATCAAATAAATTAATACAAGTAAAATTCTTAAAACCATGCCTGGCATATAGTAATTACTAATAAATGTTATCTCTTGTTATTCATTTTTCTTCATGAATCCCCAATGTCTGGAATAGGGCCCAGTGCTTAATCAAAGTCATATAATAAGTATTTGTTGGATGAAAAAAAGCCTCGAGAAGAGAGTACTAGTTGCTATGGATTCTTTACTCTTTCTTTAGTAACAGAATCCAGACTTTTGTCTGGGCATCTTACCTTCTGGGATGTTTTCCAGCTTTCTTTGAAGCTAGTTTTGGTCAATGAAGTATAAACTGAAATGTTTTGTGGAACTTTCATAAAGGCCATGCAAAGAAAACTGCATCATCCGGAAGTGCCCTTTCTTGCCCTTATGTCTTTTTGCCTCCTTCTCGCCTGCTGCAAAGGTGCCCGAGGCTGCAGCTGCCATCTCGAAATGTGAGGAACCTTGAAGGTCAAAACCATGTGCTATAGTGGTGGACAGAAATATAGTATCTTGAGGCCTTTATCTTACCAGAGAGCTGCCAAGCCAACCCAGGAATGCCTACTTCCTGACTTCTTTTACATGAGAAATACATTTCTACATTTTTGAGCCACTGTTGTTTTAGGGCTTTTGGTTAAATGTTGCCAAACTAATCCTACATTTGCCAAGTTAATTATTTTAAACTACAGCACTAAGGCCAATTATTCAACTCTGAGTCCTGTACAATAATCTTTGACAATATTTAGTGAGAGAAAGATGAGAGACCAGTAATGGAATCAACAAGAATAAAGAGACTTCCCATAGCTCTTAAGTATTACTTTTTTATACTATGCATTACAGGAAGAAGATGATTGCTTGACACAGTTAGTCAGGAAAGGTTGCAAAATGGAATTTTGAAAACCAATTAACAGACGACACAGTGGTATTTGGTAAAGTAGTCTGAGTAGGACATTTTACCCTTTATGACTGATTATATGACTTTAACAGAGGACACACACTTTGTGGAAAGAAAAGCCCATATATATCGAACACCTATAATGAATTAACTTCTTTCACATACATGAATTTATTTAAACATCACATCTGGAAAGGTAGGCATTATTTGCTACATTTTATACATAATGAAACCAGGCTACAAATGTTTGATTGACTTGCCCTCATTCACAACCTAAGTAGCAGAGGCAGGATTTGAAACTGATTTGATCTGTGTGGCCCCAGAGCTTTTGCTTTTCCTCAATACCCCTCATTTCCACACAAACACATAAGTGCATTCTCAAAGGCCAATGATCTGTCTTCCCCAATCACATGGCTAAAGATGGTCAGCATATTTATTTCCTTTCACATAAGCTGCCTTTACTTTTTCATTCCCTGTCATTTAGGAAACTTGAGGCCCATTGCTTTAAATCCATATTTATTTTTCACAGACTTTGTTTTCAAACCACAGATTCCTATTCACAAGGTGACAGTGGCTCCTTAATATTATACTTCCCTCAACCACTCTGACTGGCTAGAGCCTGTCCTTTCAGTGCCAATAAAATGCAGGTGACTCAAACTGAGATGAAGACCATCTCATCAGACCAGCTGGAGAGAGTGGATAGCCTGTTTGGCCACACCTAGTTCTTCTCCTTCTCAGAATTTTTCTCATTTACTAAATACAACCTCAAACTTGGTCCACCTCCTGTGTCCCTTATTTCAGTGAATGTCAGCATGTTCCTTCCTGTTACCTAAGCCAGAATCCTCTGAATCACTCTTAACTCCTCTCTCCCTCATTCATCACATACAGGAAGTAGCAAGCTCCCTTTTCCCTACTTTATATGTGTAAGATTCATCCACCCCATATTTCAGGTTACCACCATCTCTTAGTGAGATAACTGCTACTTTTTCTCCTTACCTTCTGTCTGTTCTATAACTAGAGTGGTCACTCTATCATGCAAATACTCCCCTTTCTATTTCAACTTTTATTAAGCTATAACTTACATGCAGTAAAGTGCCTAAATCTATATGGCTCGATGTATTTTTAAATATGTATATCAGATCCAGATATAGAACTTTTCTGGCACTCCAGAAAGCTCGTTCATGCCCCAATTTGAGTCATATTCCACCTCTAAGTTAACTACTATTCTGCCTTCTGTCACCATAGACTAAAGGTCTATGACTTCAAAAATTTACATAAGTGGAATCATACAGTAGGTTCTCTTTTGCGTCCAACCTTTTCACTCAACATTATGTCTGTAATAGTATGTGGCTTGTATAAGTAACTCATTCTTTTTTATTGCTATGAATTTCATTCTATGAATATATCTCAATTTATTTACCCTTTTTAATGTTGGTAGATATTTGGTCATTTCTAGGTTTTAGATAATTATGAATAAAACTGTTATGAACATTTTTGTGTATATCTTTTGGTTGATGCAAGCAGTTATTCTGCTAAGTATATAACCTAGAGGGGAATTGCTGGGTTACAGATCATTAGTAGGTATTGTACATCAGAATCTCAATTACTACACATCCCACATCCTCATTAACTCATGGGGTTGTCAATTTTTTTTTTTTTGAGACAGAGTCTCACTCTATTGCCCCAGGTAGAATGCAGTGGTGTCATCATAACTTACTGCAACCTCACACTCCTGGGCTCAAGTGATCCTCCTGCCTCAGCCTCCAGAGTAGCTGGGACTATAGGCACATGCCATGATGCTCAGCTCATTTTTCTATTTTTAGCACAGACAGGGTCTTGCTCTTGCTCAAGATGGTCTTGAACTCCTGAGCTCAAGTGATCCTCCCACCTCAGCCTCCCAGAGTGCTAGGACTATAGGCATGAGTCATCGTGCCTGGCCCCAATCTTCTTAACTTTAACCATTCTGGTGGCTTTTAAAATCCTTCTATGATACTTTACATGGATAAAGTCCAAACTTCGTAACATAAGGACCCTTCATAATCTGACTTTTGCTGTCCATCCTTAACTCTAATCACTACCCACCTTGACTTTTAAGTTGTAGTCATACTAAAGTACTTATGGGTCTTTGAGTGTTCTTTTTTTGGTTTTGTTCTTTTTTTTTTTCCCTCCTGACCTTTGCACTTACAATTCTCATGTATCTTATTTTCCTTTGGATTAAGTCTTTCTCATCCAGTGAGTCTTAGCTTGGACAACACTTTCTATTATACCACTTTCCCAACCTCCAAGATTCAGTTAAATACCCTTCAATGTGCATCCACAGTTCTACTGATTGCTCAGTCCTTCCTTAACTTGCATCACACTATATTGTAATTGCCTGTTGCCTTGTTAATTTTTCCTGAGGCCAGGGACTGTGTCTTGTTCATTTTTGCATCCTCAGTGCTTAAAAGAATATGGACACATAATATAGGAACTTAGTAATGTGTTGATTCTTTTGCCTCAGCCTCATGAGTAGCTGGGACTACCGGTGTGCACCACCACACCCAGCTACTTTAAAGTTTTTTTTTTTTTAGAGACGGGATTCTCACTATGTTGCCTTGGCTGGTCTTGAACTCCTGGCCTGAAGTGATTCTCCTTAATCAGCCTCCCAAAGTGCTGGGATTATAGGTATGAGCCACCATACCTGGTCAAGTTGTACTTTTGATAAGTGATAAAGAGGGAAAAAAAACCCAGAGTATTAAATAATGAATTATTCAATCCATAGAATTAGGACATCTTAAATCTTATGTTAGTAAACAAATATGAACTGGTAGGAGAGGATAAGAATTTTTCACAATATACATGCCTCCAGTGATTCAGTTCCTGCAATTCTCAATTGAGGCAAGACATTAGAATAATATGAGAGCTTTTTAAAAATACCTATGTCCAGAGACCCACCTCTGGAGTTTCTGAGTTGGGTTGGAATTAATCTTTATGAGCCTTGCTCAAAGTAAAACAGAATATGGGGTATGGTCAGAAAAGTTCTGGGGAGAAAAGTGATTTATTGACAAGAAATGAGGATTGAAAAGCCAGTTTCCTGGCATGCTATGAAACTACGAAGTCAGTTGTGGTTCATATTAAACTATTACTTCCAATGGGAAACCTCCTTTAATGTGGGGTCAGGTGGAAACAAAAGAATCATATATATAAGGTAATATGGCAAACATCTAAGCATCTATTTGCTCTTAAATTGGAACATCTGCTACGAAAATAAGAAACTTGGCTATCCAGATGAGGTCATGATATAGGCTCTAATTTCTTGAATGTGACATATATGAAATATGGCAAATAATAAAATTAGGTATAAACCTCAGAGAATTGGGCCCCTAAGTATTTGGTCTGAGTCTGTTGAAGCAATGGTTGGTGTCAATCCAATCTATTCTTCCTTCCTCCAACTGCCCTATTAGATATTAATATAAATGGAATGTACTGGCAGGATTCTCCTCCACTCCTCTATGGGGCCCACAAGAGCTTCCAAATAGGATTTATACCGAATCTTAACCTGGATCTCAGATAGGGCCTCCCTGATCCTTGAGAATTAGATAAAAATGACTCTGTTGTCAATTCCATGGCCAGCAAGAGTTCAGAGCCCTTTCTGCACAGTCTGGAGGGCGTACGTCTCACAGCCTCATCTGCATGCTGGGCTTCTGGCTCCTCTGTCCCATTCCATTCTGAGTAGGCCAATCTGTATGTGAAATCCAGTCCCTCTGTCAGTTTGCACATAAACCCCTGCTCATACAGGCAGCCTATTTCCTATTTAAAGAGCAGGGGTTTATGGGGAAGTGATTACATCGCACAGAACACATTAAACAACTTTTAAAAATCATTTGAGATGTTCCTGTTTTAAAAAGTCTCCCTTAAGAATTTATTTATTTTTTCAACATTTTTTTTTATTGTGATAAAATACACATAGCAAAATTTACCATCTTAACCATTTTTAAAGTGTAAGTTCAGTGGTATTAAGTACATCCACATTGTTGTGCAACCATCACCACCATCTCCAGAACTCTTTTCATCTTGCAAAACTGAAATTCTATTCCTATTTAACAATAACTCCCTATGTCCCTTCCCTTCAGCCCCTGAAAACCACAATTCTACTTTCTGTTTCTATGAATTTGATTACTCTCCCTTAGGAATTTAGATGCCAGTTGTTAATTTAATATTTTCTCCACCTTATTGCAAACCTTTGCTGGGGTTTGAGGTGGGACCGAAATGAAAAGGTTGGCCTTGCTTTCCTCATCCTGTTCAAACTTAGCTACCACACTGCTTCTTGCCCCCTCTGCCCATCCCCACCCACTGTGAGTGTGGAGAAGAGAGAGAATAGGGAAGGAAGAGACTTAGAGATGACATTAGGAGAGTCACTCAGGGGATGTTAGTACTCATGGCTAGGGAAAGAAAACCTAAAACTACCAGAAAACCCCAGAAACTATTAATATATTGTTCCTCTTTGCTGCATATGGTTCCCCTCTTGTTCCTTCTCACACCTTTCTCAAGTAGTATTTGTGCTCCTGAGATCTGTAATCTATTGTCCTTGGGTTTGGGTAGATTCTGGCCTGATACTTCCATTAAAATTTTGGTATTTTATTCACATAATTTTTGATATTAATTTTTTCATAATACCTTTATTAAGATATGACTCACATATCATAAAGTTCACCTTTTTTAAAATGAACAGTTCAATGGTTTTTAGTATAGTCAGAGAGTTGTGCCACTATTGCCACTAATTTTAGAACATGTTCATTACTCAAAGCATTAATTTTCATTTAAAAAATATTACATTAAATGTTATTTATCTTGACTACTAAATTTTCGTGATTACCTCAGAATTACCTTCTTAAATTCTGTGCCCAAGAAAAGTACCCTGCTCATCTGACCCTATTCTTGGCCCTTCTAGGTATCCCTGGCAGATGAAGTTTGGGGTATTTTCTGTCTTCATTGACTCTACAGGACAAATGGTACTTGTCAGCATAACAGGTAAATGTAAACTCATCTGTTGAAGCAGGAAATGGGACTCATATTTGCCACTGCCTACTCTGGGCCATGTATTTAATATACACATCATATTTAATTTTTATAACTATATACAGTAGACAGTATCATACTATTTTATAGATAGAGAAACTGAGACTCAGAGAGGTTAAACAACTTTTCCAGGGTCACACAGCGAGAGATGGAGCCAAGATTTAAAGAGAGCTATATTTGATTCTAAATTATGGGTTCTTTTCCATGGTTCTACTTTTTGAGTAGTAAGAGGAATAACCTTGAGATCAAAGAAAACAGAGGGAAATGACAGAAAAATTTAAAAGTTTCAGATCTCTAAGTTCTCTAGCTAAATCTGAAGGCCAGGGTAAGGAGTGAAGGCAAACTTAGGAGGCAAAAAGGGTGGGAGATTTCTTATTTGTTCTCAAGAGGTAGGAAATTTCCTATTTCTTAAGCATATAGCTTCATAATTTGGGAAGACCAGAGTTTCTTCCTAGGACACACATTGATGCATTAAAATGTTTTCCTACACCACTTGATATTTTTAGTCCATTATCCATTATAAATGTGTATTTCAAAGTGCCTTGTAAAGGTCATGATTGCTCATCTCTCAGTTTTCATTGAAACTCATGTAGCATATTTATGACTTCCTCCACGTCCCACATTATGTTGTAGTAGGTCTTTGTCTAATTACCTTCACAAAGAATGCTTATTTAGTTCAGATGCAAGTATTTAGGGATATACAGACAAAACTAAATAAATATAGGCCCCACTGTCTTAAATGGATGGCTCACAGAACCTCAAGTTGGCAAAAAGCCTATTGCTCATGATGCCCTTTCACCTTAACAGGATTCTTACCCTTTCTTAGATGCCTATTCTCTAAAATAAGAGGGGGATACACCAGAGCAGTGTTTTTCAGTTAAAGGAGAAAAGAATGATATACAAATTATCCAATATCCAATTATCCAATAAGCATTTTTTAAACTCTCTGGAACCTGATCCACCCTCCCGTGCCCATTCTCAATCAAAGTCTCAGATTCTGTTGTTCTGTAGTTACTATCTCTCCCTTCCCTCCCTATTATTCTGAATGAGAACTACTAGCTAGAGCATCTCTGAGGATACTTCTAGATCTAACATTCTATGGGTCTATAGACTTTCAGAACAGAGGTGAGTGAAGTATTAATATTTCATATAAATAAAGAGGCTTGTGTATCAGGTGGCTCAGACTCAGGCATGCTGACTGGATGACTACACGAAGCTCTCAGGGTGGAGACCTCTTGGCGGTACCCTTTGCTCCTGGGTTCTCAGAGAGCACATTGAAGGCCATGCCCAGGGCATACCTGAGGAAACACTGTGTTGGCATCTCACTGCTTGCTTGTCTTTTAGGCATGACTGATCCATAGGGAGGAGACTAAAGTTCTTTTATTCACAATCAGCCTGCTGTGAGCCAGCACTTAGTATACCTTCCTGGTCTCCAGAGACAATGAAAACAGGATAAGCAGGTCAGACAGAAAAACTACACAATGGTACTTGGCTTTCCTTCTTGTAGGGCTTCACTGTCACCACAAGTCCCACACCACACACACATTTGCCAAATAAGCACATTTGTCATAAACATGCGTGCATTGGTCTATCATTTGCTAACACACTACATGTATACTCTGTCCTAACATACTGGTGAGTATCTGCATACACACACACATATATCCTTTCTCTCACACTTTGTCCAAACATATAACCTGTCCATATACAAATAAAATTTCAAAAACATATCCTATCCATACATAGGCACAGATGACCCAAAGCTACCCATCTCCCTCTCTCTCTTTCTCTCACTCTCTCTTTCTCTCATGCACACACACACATGCACTCTGTCCACTTCTGTGCACTTGTGTATACACACTACATCTAATCCTCAACCTCCCAAATACCGTCACATACATTTACAGACTTTGTCCCTGTCACTTTATCCACTCCTCATACTTAGCTGCCACCAGAACTTTCTCTCATACATACACAAAAACACAGTGCACTTGCACTCAGTCCATTCACACACACTTATTTTTCCTCTATATTACACACTTAGCTCCCGACACCATGCCCATCTCCACCCTCATATAAACTTGATCACATACACACATATACACTTTTCCCCACCATTCTATCCATACCACACTTGATTCTACCAACCATCTTTATTCTTGTGTACACATGCAATGTATATACTCATGCATGTGTGCACACACATACAACCTGTGAAAGCTGCCCCTACTCAGCCTTCACAGCTGACACACAACACGCTGAGCTACCACACACTCCCCACCCTAACCCCATGGACATCACATATCTTGACCACACCCCCAGTACTTCTGAATCTCTCCCCTCCACACATACAACACATGCACTGCTCAAATACACACAATAACTTCAACCCAAATAGCACTCCTTCCTTTTCCCTTACATATTACAATATTGAAAGAATGGTGAGATATATAAGAATTTCAGGGTTATTGGAGGGGATCGTTACACTTACCACATCTACAAATAGTTCGTTCTTTCATGTTGAAGAACTGGCTTGGGGTTTCTGTCAGTAACTGTATTTTGGAATAACAGTTACTAACATTTCCCCATGGACATGTAGTCAGTTACCACACATTTTCAACTGTTACACCAAGTTCCTTTTGTTGTCGGTGATGGTGTTGTTTTAAGATAGGGTCTCTCTCTGTAGCCCAGGGTGGAGTGCAGTGGCATGATCATAGCTCACTGCAACCTTGGAATCCTGGGATCAAGTGATCCTCCTGCCTCAGCCCCCTGAGTAGGTAGGACTATAGCCACACACCACCATACCCAGATAATTAAAAAAAAAATTGTTTTTTTGTAGAAACGGGGTCTCGCCATGTTGCCCAGGCTGATCTCAAACTCCTGGCCTCAAGGGATCCTCCCACCTTGACCTCCCAAAGTGCTGGGATTATAGGCATGGGCCACCAGGCCCAGCCCCATGTTGCATTTGAAAAGGCCAAGGAAAGCCTGGCTATGCACAGACACAGAAACACATAAATTGAAGATAAATTAAAAAATTAGGGACTTTTTACCTTTTGTTAATAGAAACCACTTCCTTGTCTTTGTGTCCAGTGAAATCTGAAACCAAAAGTAGTTGGCACATCATTAATACGTGCATGCATCTGTTATCATCCTAGGTCTCAGAAGAGCAGGATTCATATTTATTGAACTCCACTGGGTGCTGTGCACTATAGTGGCAACTGTGGGTATAATGGTGAGATAGGATGGTGGGGCAAAGTGTCTATATGTGTATGTGGTCAGAGTTCATATGAGGGTGGAGGTGGGCATGGTGTAGGGAGCTAAGTGTATAATACAAAAGAAAAAGAAGTCTGTGTGAATGGACTGAATGCAACTTTTAAGCTGAACAAAAAGTGTGTGAGTGAATACTGGTAGGATGTGTTAACATCCTTGAATCTTAGGTTCAGAAGTAGCTTAATGATTAATTTTCCCTGCCTGCAGTCCAGGAATTCTGTCTGTGGCAGCAACTCCATACCGCATGGAAATTCATCACTTTCACCTCTGATGCTAACAAAAGTTTTTGAGTGTTGAAGTCCAAATGATTTTCCCACGTGTTCATGCTACTGGCCCTTGTCCTTCCTTCTGGAATAAAACAGAACACTCTGTTCCATCTGTTCTAATAAATAGCCTATAGGGAATATATTCCTTAATTAACTGATTCAATCATTCAACAAATATTTACTGAATACCACTGGGTGCTATGCACTATAGCAACAACCGTAGATATAATGGTGAGAAAACCAGCCACCATCTCTGTTGCAAAATCTAATAAGAGTGACTTCTCTGGAGGCATTTGGAAATGGAATTATGAAAGAGAACTTGAGTGAATGGGAAGAACTGATCATGTGAATTGGGAAAAATGCAAAATTGTTCAATACGTTCAGGATTTCTTAATCATTTCTGTTTTCTTGTTGAAATAGTAACTAAAGAGGAGGCAGAAACTACAAGAGCACAACATTAGATGAGGCCAAGAGGCAATTTTGGTTCCAGAGAAAACTGAAGAGATGACAATGAACTCCAAGAAGTTTAGATGATAGGCATCTTCTGGATGTTCAGGGCAGCCCAGGATCCATGGGTGCCCATGATACTAGGTTTCCAAGATAAAATACAGAACATTCAATTAAATTTGAATTTCAGTTAGAGAAATAATTTTTTAGCATAATTATGGGCCATGCAATAGTTGGAACATATATTAAAAATTTATCCATTGTTTGTCTAAAATTGAAATGTAATTGAGAATCTTGCATTCTAATTAGCTAAATCTGGCAAGCTTAAATAATGTCAATAATAGGTGAGGAAACCAGTGTTCTCCAATTTGTGTTACTGGCCTTTTCAGTTGGCTAGGAAAGACATATGAAGTAAATGAAGTTAAAAGGAGGAAACCAGAGCCTTGGAGATGTGCAATGGATAGAAAGAGGCAGAAGGAGGTGGTCAGAAACAGGGGATTGGCAAGTGGTGATGGAGCTAGGGCTAATTACCTAGGGCCCATTCCTGGCAGACAGCCTATACTACAGATCCTACAGTTTGGTTTTGTTCCTAAACAAAATCCATTTCAGATCATGTGCATATCTTAATTTAACATTTTGGGCAGGTAAAAATAAAGTGGGTAGGACTGTGCTGACTAATTACATTTTTGGCTAGGTCTAGTTCACTTTGAGATTAACCTGCAATCTGAAATATTATTCCTGCTAACTATTGGTATAGCCAACATTGTTTGTTTGCTATTTCATTTTTAAAGAAAAACTGCCTTTTGGAAAACTCCAACTGGTCTAAGAAGAAAAGGACGTTTCCTACACCCAAGACTGGCAACGTAATTTGAGGGGCTCAGTGCAAAATGAAATACCAGTTTCCTTATTTAAAAGTTGTCAAGAATTTCAAGAAGGTTCAAGAGATCTATTGTATAACATGGTGACTATAATTAATAACAATATATTTTATACTTGAAAATGGCCATGAGAGTAGATTTTAAGTGTTCTCACCACACACACACACAAACTGGTAAGTATGTGAGGGAATGGGTATTTAATTAGCTTGATTTCACCATTCCACAATGTATACATATATCAAAACATCATGTTATACATGAGAAATACATACAACTTTTGTCAATCCAATAAAATAAATTAAAAAAAAAGAATTTCAAGAAGGAGACATTAAACTGATAATGGGGTCCTTCTAAGTGCAGAACTCTGTACAGCAGTATAGATCATGCATCCATGAAACCAACCCTCTTCCTACCTTAATCCTGACAGATAAATCTGTATATATTTAGAGCAAGGGATGGTGACAGGAGAAGTTTGGACTCATTTCAGAACTCACAGGGATAAAAGGAGCTGGGCAGAGAAGGGAACATAGGTAAGAGAGAGATGAGGTCAACTGAAACTATTGCTACATTCTTCCTGAGCTGTTCTCTGACTTACACTGACTTTGGGATAGGTGGAGACACCTAATAGGTCTCCTCCTACTTGTTTCTTCTTTTTGGAAATGGTTTATATCAACAGAATCTCTTCTAGTTTTATCACCTCTCACCGTCTTTCACCCTCCATCTACCTCATCTCTTCTGCCTTACCATAGAAAATCATGTTTCAGATATGGTATGAGAACACACAGTATAGTATGACAATTCCTTTCTTTGATCTGGATCTTGCTTTTAATTCTAATAATATGTTAGCCTTTTCAGTAGCTGCTTCATGCTTTGGGATTATATTAAACTAATATTCAGCTAAAACTCTTCTATCTAGTCCACACACCACTTTAATTTCTATGGATTCTATTTATTTATTTATTTATTTATTTTTTGAGACAGAGTCTCGGTTTGTTGCCCCGGCTAGAGTTTGTTGCCTAGGCTCAAGCAATCCTGCTGCCTCAGCCTCCCAAGTAGCTGGGACTACAGGCATGTGCCACCATGCCCAGCTAATTTTTTCTATATATATTAGTTGGTCAATTAATTTCTTTCTATTTATAGTAGAGACGGGTCTCGCTCTTGCTCAGGCTGGTTTCGAACTCCTGACCTTAAGCAATCCGCCCGCCCTGGCCTCCCAGAGTGCTAGGATTACAGGCGTAAGCTACCGCGCCCAGTCTATGGATTCTTTTTAAATTGAACACATTGGACTTTTCATCAGCCTGATTTAAATTTCATCTTGTTGATTTCATATCAGCATTCCAACCAATTGAGATCATTTTGGAAACTGAGTCTGTCATTTATGGTCTTAGCTAGTCTTCTTGGTTTTGAGTTGCCAGCAGATTTGCTAATTCTGCCATCTCTGTCTTCACAGACATCCCTGTTAAAAATGCTGAACAGGGCAGGGCCAGGAACAGACTGTATCCTCCACAACAGACTTGCACCTGAGTGACACAGAGATAATAATTCCATCATTCTAGGTGTGGCCCATCAAATGTAGGAGTATGTGAGAAATCATGAAAGGAACTTATTTGCAATCCTCAGGAAGTAAACTGAAGAGTTATTTGAAATGTCTTTTAGGAAAAATGTTATAAATACAAGTATCACCAGCCGAAAATTAAAAAAAAACTCAAGGAAATACTGGTAGGCATAAGACATAAATTAAGAAAAAGAGGGTCAAAAGAAAAAGGGAATGGGAACTGGAGATCATTATCCTAAGTGAAGTATCTCAGGAGTGGAAAAACAAATGCCACATGTATTCTTGAATAACTGGGAGCTAATTGATGGGCACACAAGAGCACAAAGAGATGTAAAGGTCATTGGAAATCAAGAAGGGCAGAGGGGAGGGGCAAAAACTTACCTAACGGGTACAATGAACACTGTTCAGGTGACGGGCTCACTAAAAGCTCCAACTCATGGATTATAAAAGGTATCCATGTAACAAAAACATTTGTACCCCTTTAATATTTTGAAATTAAAAATAAATAAAGAAAAAGAGAATGAGCAAAGAGGAAGGAAAAGGATCAAAAGGATAGAGAGAGATAAGAGAGAAATGTAGAGAGACTCTCAGTGACATTAGTTCTAAAAGTCATGTGACCTTGTTTTAAGATTTATCCCTTCCTACCCCTGAATGCAAAATGAGGCTAATAGGCCCAGCCCTTAAAGAACCTTTCTTGTGAGTATAATAATTGGATTATGGGCCACATCAGATAAAAGTCAGGATTTCCTGTGGCTGATTCAAACTGACTTGGAACTCTTTGAGGTTTGGATTCTTCTTGACACAACTGGTCATGCTCCCCTATCTTATAAAATATGGAATTAATGTCCTTCTGATTCGAATGAAATACTGCCAGGAAGATCAGCTGAGGATAACTGAGAAATTATTCCCTGACTATTCCTATTAATAACCATTGCCCTCAGCAAATAATAAGTGCTAAAAGAAAGTTGAATGGATGAAAAATTTTCTTTGAGTTTCTTCTCCCTGTATTTGAGTCTAAGCCACCTCCTGATTAAATGACACAGAATCAGATTTTATTCTTCTCAGTTTTTAAAAGAATTCTGCTAAAGAAGAGGGTTAAAAATAAGGGCTTATTTTATTTTACTGAAATGTCATCATCAGAATAAATGAGTAGGACTCTCCTGTATCTATATTCACAAAATATACCCTAGCTATGCCACTTATTTACAATTTGACCATGTGTTCTCAGTCTTCCATGATCTTGTTTATGATTTCTCTTTTTTTCCCCATATATTTTTATTTCAGAATATTATGGGGGCACAAACATTTTGGATCAGCACTCAATGAATATTACTACCATGTGAGCACCTTAGTGTTGATCAGTTGGTACAAATTTGATGGCAAGTACATGTGGTGCTTGTTTTTCCATTCTTGTGATACTTCACTTCAAAGGATGGGCTCAAGCTCTATCTAGGATAATATAAGAGGTGCCAGATCACCATTGTTTTTTATGTTTGTAATGCCCCTTTCTCCTTGCCTGCTTGGCTACCTCTATCTGTCCTTTAAAGAATTAGTTTCCATAGAAATTTTTCCTGATCACCCAGCTGAGTTAAGGAACATAGATGTCCCACTTGGGCTCCAGGGTATAGTAACATATTCTCTCTTTTCCTCTACTAGGCAGAGAATTAAAGACAGAAACTG